TGCTTAAACATTTATAGTGGTGTATTCTTAAAATATGCCAAGTTTCAGCTCGATATATACAATTTTCGATTTTATGCCGCTTATTTGGCAATTCGGCCTACTGTGCGGTGTAAATGGTCTAGGTTGGGTGGGCTAATGCAAGTTGCTGAGCAACAACTACACCAACAACATTCAAGTCAAATTGTCTTTGAATTGTATCTTTTCTCTTTCTATTGTCGATCATTTAATTGCCATTTCTCTCTTTCTTCTTTATCCTGTCAATTTTGAGTGAGTTAATCCCCCTTACCCCAAAGCACGCGAAATCAAATGATATTACTGCATAAAACGCCAGCACTTCGAGTATTACTCTCATAAGTACCCTCATTTCGACTGGGCTCTTTGTATTATGATGAGGTTGGCTGTTCCCCATAATTCTATTCCATATGTCCAGATTGGTCTTATTATTGTTTTATAGATTAGTAACTTGTTGGATACGTTTAGGTTTGATTGTCTCCCCAGAGGCCAATGGAGTTGTCGAAATTTGTTTTTTACTTCGTTTCGTTTGTTTATTATATGTTTTTTCCACGTGAGTTTTGAGTCAATGTGAGTCCCAGGTATTTGGCGCTTTCGTCATCTATTTTAATTCTTGTTGGGGTAGTTATTTTCTTTTTTGTGTATATCACCTGTTGTGTTTTGTCCTTGTATATTTTAATGCCCCATTTCTCAAACCATGACATTGTTGTTGTTAAGATCCCTTGAGTGTGTTTGCTGCTCTTTTTTCTGTGTAGCTAGAGGCCATTAGCACTGCATCGTCAGCAAAGGTTGCAATCATGGAACCATAGGTCAGTGAATTTGGGATGTCTGCTGTGTATATAAGGTATAATATTGGTCCTAGAACGCTGCCTTGGGGTATACCCGCTGCCACAGGCATAACATCTGAACATTCATTGTCGCATTTGATATAGAAATATCTGTTGGTCAAGTAACTTTTTAGTATAGTGAATAGGTTAAGTGGTAGGATGTTGTGAAGCTTATGGAATAGTCCTGTATGCCACACTTTGTCAAACGCCTTTGCAATGTCCATGTATACTGCTACGCAAACGTTCTTGTTGTCAAAGTCTTCTGATATTTTGTGTATGACTCTGTGCACTTGCTGCACCGTTGAGTGTTTTTTTTCGAAAACCAAATTGGTGGGGTGGGATCACATTATTTTCTATTAAGATCGGGTTGATTCTATCAAGTAAAATTTTTTCAAAAATTTTTAATAGAATTGGTAACAGGCTTATTAGTCTATATGAGCTAACAAGAGCTGCACTTTTATAAGGTTTTGGGATTGCTGTAATCTGGGCAATTTTCCACGTCGAAGGGAAGAACTTAAGTCTTATCACTATAGCTCGGATAGTTATGAACAGGGACCGTAATCATTATAAGTAATATTTTAAAAATTACTTTGTAATGATTACTTCTCGATTTTTAATTTTTTAAATCAAGACTAATAATTATTTTTGAGCAAAAAAATAAAAATCACAAATAATCATTATTTTTGAGCAAAAAAAATAAAACTCAAAAATAATCATTATTTGTGATTTTTATTTTTTTGCTCAAAAATAAAACTCAACAAGCAACAACTTTTGATCCTTTAAGGATATTACCAATATTGTCCTATGTCCTTATAAAGGGACCCTAGAGCAACAATTGACAACAACAACAACAACAATAAAATGTATTTTACCTGTGTTTGTTGCAATTATTTAATATAAGGTCAACTGTTACATCCAGAGCAGCAGCAGCAGATATACACAATTACCAAAACAATGATAATAATGATAATGATAATCATAATGATAATGATAATCATCATAATGATCAACCAGTAGAACAATTAGGTACATTAATTTTCAATTTATTTTTTTAAATTTTTATTTAATTTTAGGAATAACAATTTTGAGAGCGACTCGCTCGACAAGTTGCACCTTTGGTCGGTTAGCATTATTTTAAGCGCAGAAAAGGCACGCTCTACGCTAACTTGGGTAGCTGGAGCCGCAAGCACAACCTTAGCAAGCTGATATAAATTCGGCCTATTTGGCCACTTTTTTTGGTATTCGGTATTCGGCCGAAAAAAACACATCACTTTTATCAGAACTTCTTTTTATTATCAAATTAAAATATGTCAATAAATAAAATTAATACGCGGTTGTTGTCAATTGTTGCTCTAGGGTCCCTTTATAAGGACATAGGACAATATTGGTAATATCCTTAAAGGATCAAAAGTTGTTGCATGTTGAGTTTTATTTTGAGCGAAAAAAATAAAAATCACAAATAATCATTATTTTTGATTTTTATTTTTTTTGCTCAAAAATAATGATTTTTTGTGATTTTTATTTTTTTTGCTCAAACATAATGTTTAACAATAGAAGAATAAATATAAAAATTAAAAATTAAAAATCATCAAGGATATTCATAGTGTATCCTTAAAGGATAAAAACGTGCTAGTCATGCTTGTTCTATGTTGATTGGAAGTGATTGATTTATTCATTTGAAAATAGCGACAATAATCATTATTTACGGTCCCTGGTTATGAACGAAAAAAGGCCAAAATATGCATGCAAATATGCAAGAAAAATAGCAAAATATGCACAAGAATATGGATTCAAAAATACAATAAAATATGAAAGAATCATGCAGAAAATAGTCATAATATGTTGGAAAAGGCGGTTCTTTATTTAAAAGCTAAAGTTTTGCACAAATTTACATTGAACTTCGACAAATTTGGTGTGGTTTTGGTTCAAGATCCGATTTTATCGATTGGCTTCCCTGATCGGCATTTTCCTTCCTTCTATCATTGTCAGCTTTGTGTTTTAATGATGCAATATGCTGATATACTTGGAATATTTTTTCCTTCAACTGCACATTCACAATACGTACAAAATAAAACCCTATCAGACCGAAATACTTTGGGAAATTCGACTTTCAAACGCAATTTGATTTAAAGTTGATTTAAAACAACCGATAACTTTGAATGCAACCAGACAAATGATGACAAATGCGGTCATGCCGCAAACTAAATAAAATAACTAATTTCAAATCGTAACGTAAAATTAAATTCTTGATGTTTGCCTTTTGTTTTGCTATTTTCCCTGCGCGGCAGCACTGATTTAATTGTCATTGCTAACTACCTTTTTTGCACTTTTTCGCTTATCGCTGCCTGGCTCTTCGTCCACGGCAAGCTTCATGTTATTTCGATTCGTATTCGCTTACAAGAAGGCACGAACGCTGATCGCTTGCTAAAATCTCTCGCGTCTATATACTTTCGCTAAAGGCACAGACAAATCGGTCTGCCTGCAAAAATACCTTTTCGCTGCAAAAAAGGCACAGACAATTCGGTCTGCCTGCCTAGCTAAATCTACAACAAGCTAACTTCGTATATTTAAGGCCTTGAAGCCAAATAATAAATAAGTGCATTTTATTAACTAAATTTGTGATTATTTTATTTGGGCACCGTCAAGGTAATGGTTAGTAAAAAAGCTTACTGACCCAACATTTGGTGACCCCGACATGATTGTGAAACAATAGAAATTCGAACCATCTAAAACTAAAGTGCAACCAAACAAATAATTTATTATTTTCGTTTCGGCTTAAAGTTGGTGATCGTGCAAGTACATAACAGCAGAACATACGCGCAACATAAGCTTCGCTAGACCCTCGCACACACCCGCCCCCGTGCATTTTAAAGTGCATTTTCGTTTTCTTTTGTGCCGTCGTTCCCGCTTTAAAGTTTTTACAGCGGCGAAAAACGTTTCGTTCGCGGGTTCAGTGCCTACATATATATTGTATCTATATATACATATTCAAATAGACGCACAATTTTGGCGCTAATCAGTGCACAGTGGGACTAGATCAGTTTGCAAGTGACTAATTTTGAAAGTTATAAAACCCAAATAAACAACATGTTAACGGACATAGCGCTTGCTGCTCCAGTTGCGGGAGCAAAATTTTATAAATTGAAGGCTGGCTCAATGCTTTCGAAAGCTAAAGCCTTCGAGAAGACTCTGACTAAAGAAATGTTTCAGAATATGACCGAGGAAGAACTGCAACTTCGTGTTGAAGCCCTGGACGAGAGCAAGACCGCATTTCTTCAGATCCATGACAGACTTGATTAGCTGGACTTTGACGAAATCGGAAGCATGGTTCGAGATGACTTTGAGGAGCTGGTCATATCTGCAAAAATTAGGTTGAATCGCGAAATGGGTAAGCGAAAGGGTCCGGCAATTCGCAGCTCCACACTCAGGCCAGAGACCTCCATGGATTTCCATTCCATGTCAGCGGCTAGGAGATCTCATTTTCCCGAATTGAGACTGCCTGATTTTTCTGGGGGCTATACCGAATTTTCGGACTTTCAGTCGATGTTCAAGGCCATTATCGACAACGATGTTGAGCTGTCCAACATTGAGAAGCTGCAGCATCTCAAGTCTTTCTTGAAGGGTTCCGCCTTGGACACAGTTCGGTCATTGGAAATTTGCGAGATTAATCCCATATTAACGCAATCTTGAGTCTCCCCAAAGTCGACATACAGTGTGCCACGAAGTTGAGAGACATGTCCGATAAAATAAATGCCAATTTACGTGCTCTCCAATCAATGGGTTCGGTGGAGCAGATTTCGAACTGCGTTCTCGTCCATGTGCTACTCCAAAAATTAGACAGCAAAACTCAGGCCAAGTGGGAAGAATTTGCCGTTATAGATGAAATTCCATCGATCGATTAATTCGCTACATTTTTGTCCAAGCGTTGCCAAAAACTTGAAAATGTACGACACACTTCAGCCTTGTACTCAAATAGTTCACAGTCAGCAAAACCCCCCGTTAGTTGCCACTAACACTTCGGGAAATGGGTGTGTTGTGTGTGACAACAGTAGTCATTCGATATATAACTGTGGTCAATTCGCCAATCTATCAATACAAGAGGGCATTCAAAGGGCAAAGGGATTGGCGCTGTGTCTCAATTGCTTGAAGAAGGGGCATCAAATGCGCAATTGTCGGTCAGGCTGCTGCCGAATTTGCGGCTCCAAGCATTACAGCCTTTTACACCTCAGCTCTCAGCCTTCGACCGAGGTTCAGCGAGCTCCCGTGGCGGAACCAAGTACGTCAAACGCAATCGCCTCTAGCCCCTCTACCTCTTTGCTCGCTCATAATGTGGATTCTGATATGGTTTTCCTTGCAACTGCAGTTATAAGCGTTCAAAGTCGATCAGGTGCTTGGATCCCATGCCGCACGCTGCTAGACTCGGGATCACAGGTCCACATTGTGACTAACCGACTCGCTCACCAGTTGCAACTGCCTAAAACCAAGTCTACCGTAGCAGTTGCTGGTCTTGGAGATGCCTGTTTTAATGCTCAAGGAGCTTCCGTTTGCATCAAATTCAAGTCTCATACCTCCAATTATTGCGCATGCCTATCTGCACTTGTTGCTCCGGCAATTACTGACAACCAGCCCAGTTTGACCGTTAAGCCCGAAGGCTGGAAAATTCCCGCTAATATTCAGTTGGCCGATCCTGAATTTTATAAGTCTCAGCGTATTGATCTTCTCATTGGAGCAAGCATGCTTTTTGAATTATTATCTGTAGGGCAGATTAAGTTAGCTGCTGGGTTACCCCTATTGCAAAAAACGAGACTTGGTTGGATCGTAACCGGAGGAGGATCTTCCTCAATCAAGGCAACTGCGTTGCAGGGTCAAGCTGTCCAGCGTGAATTGGTTGCCGCCGAAGGTCGTATGGATGAGCTAGTCCGTCGCTTTTGGGAGGTTGAGAGTTGTGAAGAAGGCGTGGTCACAGCCACCAAAGAAGAACTAGCGTGTGAGGCTCATTTCATGACCAATTTTCGTCGCTTGGACTCAGGTGAATATTCCGTAAAATTGCCTGAAAGAACACTTTAGAATTACTGGGTGAATCTTACAATCAAGCCTATCGTCGCTTTCTCAATTTAGAGAACAAGCTACAGCGCAAGCCAGAAGTCAAGGTCCAATATTCGGCATTCATTCGCGAATATTTGGATTTAAACCACATGTCTCTTGTGCCCAAAGACTCCTTGAGTCTTTGCAAATATTTTCTGCCCCACCACTGCGTTTTCAAGGAAGATAGCACCACGACTAAATTGCGAGTCGTTTTTGATGGGTCTGCCAAAACGTCTAGTGGATACTCGCTGAACGAGGTTTTAATGGGAGGGCCTACCATTCAACAAAAGCTGTTCAACACGCTGTTACAGTTTCGGACTTTCCTGTTGCATTGACTGGTGACGTCTGCAAGATGTATCGGTGTGTTCGCGTGGCTGAACCCGATAGCTACTTCCAATGTATTCTTTGGCGTGACTCACCGGACCAGGAAGTGCAGGTATTCAAGCTGGATACCGTGACTTATGGAACCAAGCCTGCAGCCTTTTTACCCGTTCGAACGATGCATCAATTGGCGAGTGATGAGAAGAGTTCATTTCCAATCGGCTCCAAAACCATTTTGCGAGACTTCTACGTTGGCGATCTGATCACAGGAGGGAAATCAGCGCAGGAGGTCCTCGAAGTCATGTCTCAAACCACCAACTTGCTGTCACGAGGTGGTTTCAAACTCCGGAAATGGTGTTCCAACGACCGCGATGTCTTTGATCAGATTGCTGACTCGGAAAAGGAAACATTCCTGAAGTTTGACGATGGCAGCGGCTTTACAAAGACACTGGGTCTTGCTTGGGACCCTGCAGCGGATGTGTTTCGTTTCTCTTTTTCTCCCATACAGGTCTCTCCAAAGCCTTGTAAGCGACTGGTGTTGTCCACAATTGCTCGGATTTACGATCCTCTTGGTCTCATTGGTCCTGTAGTTGCCAAGGCCAAAATCTTCCTGCAAGAGGTCTGGAGAGAAAAGTTGGAGTGGGATGAGAGCTCTCCTTAGGCACTGAACACATCGTGGCTGAAGTTGTCATCCGACATAGGTCGTACCCAGCAAATGAAGTTTCCTCGACGTGCGTTGCATCCAAATGGTGCTATTGAGATTCACGGATTCTGTGATCTTCTGTGGATCTTCTGGTCACGGTGGCGTGAAGACTCTTTGACTCCGTTTACGGCAACGGTCAAAGTGGCGCACTCCCAAACCTGCGCTTCAAATCAACGATGTCGTCCTGGTCCAGAATGAGAATTTGCCTCCGCTTAAATGGCCATTAGCCAGGGTAATGGAATTGATGCCTGGATCCGATGGAGTTGCTCGGGTGGCAGTGATACGAACTTCAACTGGAGTCACTCGAAGAGCTGTCCGCAAATTGTGCGTGCTGCCGAAGCAGGATCTGGTTGAAAGCCCTGGTCTTCCAACGGGGGGAGAATGTTCGGTCATGCCGCAAACTAAATAAAATAACTAATTTCAAATCGAAACGTAAAACTAAATTCTTGATGTTTGCCTTTTGTTTTGCTATTTGCCCTGCGCGGCAGCACTGATTTAATTTTCATTGCTAACTACTTTTTTTGCACTTTTTCGCTTATCGCTGCCTGGCCCTTCGTCCACGGCAAGCTTCATGTTATTTCGATTCATATTCGCTTACAAGAAGGCAAGAACGCTGATCGCTTGCTAAAATCTCTCGCGTCTATATACTTTCGCTAAAGGCACAGACAAATCGGTCTGTCTGCAAAAATACCTTTTCGCTGCAAAAAAGGCACAGACAATTCGGTCTGCTTGCCTAACTCAATCTACAACAAGCTAACTTTGTATATTTAAGGCCTTGGTGCCAAATAATAAATAAGTGCATTTTATTAACTAAATTTGTGATTATTTTATTTGGGCACCGTCAAGGTAATGGTTAGTAAAAAAGCTTACTGACCCAACAAAGAATATAATAAAGCGTTTATTATGATTAGTCATTGAGAATCCATTAATAAGTTATCAATGTACCTAGTGTTGATCATTTGATGAAAATAAACAACGTGTGAGTCAATTTACTTTCAATTTCAGAATGATTTTCATATGTCACAGATTTGATGAATAAAATGTTAAAATATGCTCGAACATGCACTTTCGATCAAAATATGCTCTAAGGAATGAAATATGCACAATATGCATGCAACATGCATTTGCATGACTATCCGAGCTCTACTTATCACTGCATTAAAAATGTCTCTTATAAGCCTAATCGTATTGTCTGGCAGCTCTTTTAGTGTTTGACCACTGATTTGATCAAAGCCCGGTGTCTTATTGTCTTTGACTTTTGATATTTGTTCTCTTATTTCGTATATCGTCGTTTTCCTGATTGCACAGTTGGGTTTGGGTATATGTGATGGGAGCTCAATGTTTTGGTTGTCCATACTGTTCGTAAAAATTTCCTCAAAGTGTTCGGCCAGTGTGTCAGCTTTTCCTTTGTCTGTTCTTGCCCATGAGTTTTTCTTTGTCTTTATTGGATGTTTATGTATAGTTACTTTTGTCAGTTTTTTAGTCGCTTTCCATAGGGAGTAGTATTTGGATGTCGTTGTTCCCAGATTTTCCAGCTGTCTCCTGATTTGGATTTCGTTGTACTCTTGTAGCGTTTGTTTGAGATCTTTTATTGCACGGTTTAGCTTGGTCTTGTCATCTGGGTGCTTGGTGGACTGCAATATTTTTCTTAGTTGGCGTTTATGTTTGATTTTGTCTTTAATGTGTGATGGAGTCCTTTTGGTTATTACGGGGGTCAGAGCCGGAGTTAATTGCCATAGAGCTTTAAGGCAGTAGTCTGCTTTACAGACTTCAAAAAATCGATTTTTTTTTGTCTTAAATCTATTCCAAAACTATCCAAGAATATGTGTTCAAAATTTTAGAGGCCAATTCGACATATTTTCGAAGCTAGATCAGTTTTAGTGGCCAAGCGTCGAGCAGGTGCGAATGCTCGGGCAGACTTTACAGCCCGTTTTCTCGAGTTTTCATTTTCACAAGTTTTGGAAAACGGTGCCGACCATAGTAAAAAAAATATATGTCAGATCGAAAAAAACCAAAGTGATCTTGCTTCAGTATTGAATTATCTTCTATTTGAACTAAACAAGTTGGATAAAAGTACTATATAAATTACTTGTTTTGCAACTTATAGTGAACTTTTTTTCCAAAAAAGTGCATTTTTTTTTTTTCAAACTTAGAAAAAAATTGGAATTTCGTCATTTCTTCGGTATTTTTTTAGTTCATATAGAAAAGGAACTTATAAAAACTAAAAAAAATTTAGTTCCACTGTTTTAGATGCATCGCCGGCACCGATTTACAAGTGCACACTACAGGCGCCCCAAAAAAATCGTTACAACTTCCGCTAATTTCAATTATTTGTAACAATAAAAATTGTTTTTTAAAGTTTAAATATAATATTATTGTTGAATCGTTTCACTTTTATAATTGAAGTTATATTAATTAGATATATATATGTAATTATAGTTAACTTAAATAGTCTTATATTAAGCTCGAATTGAATTACCTGAATTCATGGTACAATTATACAAGGTAGTCTCGTCGGCAAAAAGCACTCCCTTATTCATTACTCACAACAAGTGCGAGTGAGAGGAGTCTGCGTAGTAAGTGCGAAACGACTAAAGAGCTTTTTGCTTAACCCCTAGGCGCATGGGGCTTAAATTGCTCATTTCTAGTAAAAAGAGTTGAAGTTTTTATAAATTAATTTTTAATAGTTTTGAATTTAAAATTAAACGTTGTTTTTGTTTTTGGATAGTTATTTTTTTGTTTAGGTTCTTAATTTTAAAATAAATGTCAATCTTAAAGTAAAATTTTTTAATATCTAAATTAATGTTTTTTAGCAGCTATTAATAGTTTCTCCTTTACATTTTTTGTTATCTATACTAATATTATAAAGAGGTAAAATTTGTTTGTTTGTTTGTTTGTTTGCAGGGAATAGGCTCCGGAACTACTGGTCCGATTTAAAAAATTCTTTCGCCGATAGAAAGCTATATTATCGTGGAGTTAAATAGGCTATAATTTATTTTGAAAAAATTAGGGATCCGTAAGAAAATTGCAATATTGTCGCATATAAAGTGAGTTGCTACCTCATCACACTGACAAACACGCTCCCATAGCATTTTAACTCAATTTTTGTGTTCACTGTGAAATTTAAAAAAAAAAAATAATTTTTATTCAATTTAAGTTGAACTGTGAAAATTATGTGGATCATGCATTTGAGGATAAATTCACCACTCTGTCCATAGTCCAAAATGCTTAGAGGACGACGTGCAAACATTGGCCGCAGACATCCAAGCCAGCAGCCAGTATATTCACAAAACTTGGGCGAAGAAAGACAAATGAGCACATGGAGATCATTGGCATCATTCAATCGCTTGGCATTCCAATATGACCCCACTGCGAACTACAGTGATAATGAAAATTTAGATATTGGACCAATGGCGACTATATACCGATATTGCAGTGCGTTAAAGTTTAAAAGAGAAACGGCTGGATTGTGCTGCGCAAGTGGAAAAGTCAAACTGGAAAAGTGTTAAATCACCATCTTTCTATACTTCCATATATTTGAAAAATGTTGCAACATTGACTTTTATGTTGTTAAATTGTGTTGACCAGCGAAGCGGACACAGGACCTCTAGTACTAAAATAATCTGAAGCTTCATGCAAAAAATAAAAAAAGTTTGCAGCCAAGGGTAGAACGACATCTTTGCACAAGGGTTAATGCTCTGAAAAAAATCGTCCGCACACATGCTTTTCCTTCATTATTTCATTTTTTTTCATTTCCTTGATTAAAAACCGAACGATTAGGCAGCCGACGAGACCATGGTACAATTATACAAGGTAGTCTCGTCGGCCTTTAACCCTTGTGCAAAGATGTCGTTCTACCCTTGGCTGTAAACTTTTTTATTTTTTGCATGAAGCTTCAGATTATGTTAGTACAACAAAAAATGTAAAGGAGAAACTATTAATAGCTGCTAATAAACATTAATTTAGATATTGTAACGAAAGTTGGTTTCAAATGACTTAACCAGGTGACCAGTACCAAAGCTGACGTCTGGCAACCCTAGGACATGCCAACGATCGGTCACTCTAGGACCTGTAAAAAGCCTGTCAAAAAGTTTAGGAAAGTTGCGATCACACTGATCGATCCTCTCTCTCTCTCTCTTCTTCCGGTTGTCTGCCAGGCTGCACGCTTGTGTAATTAAGCGGGTAATAAAAACCTAATATAAATCTTAAGAACTCTTGCTTGGTTGTTTGAATGGCGTTGGCATAACGTGGGCTGACCCCCACCTATTAAACAGTATCCGCTCGGCTGACAGTGGCGAACTTGGAAACCTCGACAGGGCAACTAAGTTTCGTTACATTGGTGTCAGGTGTGGGGTCACGTGGGTTTGCGAAAACTCAGACCCAAAGAAAATGCCTAAAAAGTCCGTTCGCCAACGCCAGCCCTCACCCGATGGGAATATGGGAGAGGGTGCACAACAGCAGCAGATTCAGTCTTTCATGCGAAAGCTGGAAGAAAAAGTAAGCGTAATTGACAAGTCTCTAGAACGAAAGTTCGAGCAAATGTGGGCGACCTTCGAGAGGACCATGCTTGGTGGCTTGCAAGGTGTAGCAAAAGGACCGGCCAACACCGCAGATACCTTTTCAGCGGCCATGCCGGCGGGGGAACCAATGCTCTCTGCCAGCACGCCACGCCTGTTTGCACCCCCAACGGAAGACCCAGCACGTCGCAATTGCCAAGTGGAGCCGCCGGTAGCACCTATGGCCCGCTCTTATGATCCGCAGCCTTCGACAGCGAACAGTGCCGGCCTTGCAGCCGATGGAGTTTCGACCAGAGCACCGCAAGTAGTCATTCCTTCTCGATACTGGGACTTTTTAGAGTTGCCAGACACGGAGATACCCCCAATATTCGACGGCACCAGACCATGGTCCGAGTTTTAACGCCTGCTAGACGACATGGCAGAGGAGTATCACTGGTCTGA